TTGGGTCCCCTTTTAACATTTCCTCCCGTTTAGCATTATGGGCGTCACAGCCATATACTATAAAAGGCTGAATCATAAACTAAACTGTATATATATATATATACACATGTATAAAGGGTTACGTCCTTAGCTGGCTAATAAGCTACATAATAAGCTACATAACAAGCTAAACTAACAAGCACACAAACACCTGCTAACGGGATTAACATGTATAATATTATCATTTTACTCACCGAAAAAAGCTGAGAGTAGACTTCTTGGAAGGTCTGTTAGTACATTCAAGCGCACAGCACTACATTTCAATTGTCTGGTATTTGTAACAATATTCCCTAAAAGGCACAATCACCACGAACACGGCTAAAGGGTCAAGTACAGCAACTACAACTAACTAACGTTGTAGCCTAGCAGAGTGGACAAATTGCTGTTAGCTGACAGTGAGGCACGTACCTGTCCATCAAAGTGACCACGCCCTAATTTATGCAAAAACTTTAAGACCTAATATAAATAAAAGGGTCGTGTTAGAAAACAATTCACTCACAGATCCATAATCATGAAGGTGGAATCTAACTATATTCATAATAATATTTATTGGATCCATAGGTAGAAACATGTTTTTTTAGGCTGTGAAATTGGGCATTTTAACATGGGGCTCTATGGAAATTGCTCCTTTCTGCAGTCAGCGCCTATCGGCCAATATATGAACTGCAGTTTGTGGCACTTCCGCATTGGCGTCCCGGCTCTTCCCCAGAGTTTGCCGCTTGGTTTACACACACAGGTGTTTGTAAACATTCACCTCTCTCTCTCTCTCTCTCTCTCTCAGAGGGCGATCAAGAGAAGAGAGAGAGGGCGAGCAAGAGAAGAGAGAGAGAAGAGAGAGAGGGCGATCTAGAGAAGAGAGAGAGGGCGATAGAAGATTGAGAGGGTGATCAAGAGAAGAGAGAGAGTAATGTAACCTCCTAATGTAATGTATTACTCCTATGAAAATGTTCAAAAAGTGCTCAAACTTCACATGTGTGCTAACAGTCCAGCCGTGAAGACATCTACGGGACAGTTTTGAGATTTCTTCAAATGCCGTTGCCATGGCAACACAATGCTCACCATGAAACACGGTTTTCTCATAACTTCAGTGAAAATGATCGAAATGGCGCAAAACTTCACAGGTTTGGTAACGATGCAGCCATCAACACATCTAAGCGTATTATGGGGTGTCATCAAATGCCGTTGCCATGGCGACAGATAATTCACCATCAAGTTAGTTCAAAAGTTTGCAGTTCAAATATTCTGCTGCTTTCTCAAGCCTTTTTACTTTCTTTTCTCATCTTAATGCAAATTCATTCACTACTACTTACATCTGATATTTAACTCCTTCAGCCTATTTTCAGCTGCAGAAACCATTCAACTATTACATTATTCAGCTATTTCATTACATCAAGGCTATACATGTTTGTTTAAACCTTTTCTTTTAAATATTAAGCTTTTTCTGCATTTTTGTAGCTAAAAGCAGCTACCATTCAGCTAATAACATATTCAGCTTTTTCAGCTAAATTCAGCCACAAATGTTCACAGTTTACAGCATTCGCACGCATTTTCTGCAGGAAATGCATTTTCTAGTTCTTCCCCTTAAAATTATTATTATTATTTCAACCATACTTTGGCTCTCCATAACTTCAGCTTACTTTCAGCTACAGAAACCATTCAAATATCAAACTATTCAGCCTGTTCAGGAATCGATGGGAAACCTTCAACTTTTTAAAAATATTTTATACTTTTTGAAATATTCAGCTTTTTAAACTCTTTTTTTTAACATTGAAGTCAATGGGAGATGCCTTCAAATCCTCTTTTCCTACACTTTGCGCCAAATGCTACTCCTTCCACATACTTTCAGCTAGACACTTCATTCCAACTTTCAAATGATCACAGGACCTTCAGCTATTCAGAATTGATTTTTATTTTTGATATCTTTTACACTTTTTGAGATAATTAACTTTGTTTGGAGCTTGGTAAAGAGGCTTTCTTCAGATCTTAACATTAGTGTGGATGGAGCAGCTCGTTAAGTCTAGAGTGCTTTGATCTCAAAACAGAGTGCAGCAGTGCTCCCCAAAAAATGTTTTAAACTTGCCATAATTCCCAAACCCTACACTCCTCAGACATATTTTTTCATGAAAAACGTAGGAAAACCTCTCCTAGGTTGGAAAATAAAAAAAAATTAAGAAGAAATATTAATCAAAATGCCTCTTGAGGGCATGAAGAGACAAAAAGTCCACCTAGCTCCCAATTGATTCCCATGTTAAATCTTTCCGGAACTTTCTTCAGAACAGAGAGAAGTACACTTTAGACAAACTGCTCCCATCTCCACATTTTACACACAAAACAAAAAAAAACAACATATATCAGTTCATTGGGGTTCCCTGATGCTCACGGTCTGGTATTTTCTTTATAGGAGCCATAGTTTTTGAACAGGTGGCAAAATTGTCAGATATAATCCTCAATGCATTCTTAATGGGACTCAGTGCTGCAGTTGGAAAATCGTCATAAATCGTCACCATGGTAACCTTTCATCTCTGGGTTTACACACACAGGTGTTTGTAAACATTCATTCACTACTACTTACATTTAATATCTAACTCCTTCAGCCAACTTTCAGCTATAAACCATTCAACTATTACATTGTTCAGCTATTTCAGGACATTGGGGCTATACATGTACACCTTTTTTAAACCTTATCTTTTAAATATTAAGCTTCTTCACTATTTACTGCGAATGCTGTATGCTGTGCATTGAAATATCAAAGATATTCTGCTTTTTCATCACATGATGGGAAACTTTACATTTTTCAAAAGTTGTTATAACTGTCTTTTTAGATGTTTAACTTGTGTTCATGTTAAATCCCGCTTATATAGCGTTTCATAGTTAGTTATCTATAGCAGTGAACCTCGACGCGCGATTTTCCGAGTCCCTTTGAACGCATCACCTGATCTTCTGTCTGAGACGAACTGTGCTGCGTCACTCTGCTCCGTGTCTTTAATGGTGAGTGCTTCACATTACGTTTCTTCCATACAACTATAAATGGGTTCCGCAACATTTTAACAGTAGAAATACAGGTGTGGCGCTTTACATGAACATTGAAGTCGGCAGCTAAACGAGGAGGGAAAACGTTTTCATGGTCAACCAGAATAAAACTTGTATTGCTTGGTAACGGGAGCTAATGTTAGCTACGTGCTAACGCTAGCATAGCAGCTACAAACGTTTGCCGGTCAATTATCAAAAATCTACTTCTAAACAGGTTTTTTTCGAACAAGGTATTTTTCAGCATCTCAAGTGACCCTCCTGACACTAATGTGGGAACTTTAATTTGTCAAAATGTTGTCAGAGTTATTATGAAGAACCAGAGGTGGGAACTCGAGTCACATGACTTGACTCGAGTCAGACTCGAGTCGCATATTTTTTGACTTGAGACTTGCTTGACTAACATTGATAAAAGACTTGACTTGACTTTGACTTGGTATTCATGACTTGAGACTTGACTTAAGCTTGAGACAGATGACTTGAAAGGACTTGACTGTTTAAAATTAAATATTTGCGTTTGTTTTTGTAGTGAGATATTACGTTTAGTTTTTTCGAAAAACGTGATTGGGTGATTATAGCGCCGTGCGCGCAAACCTGGCAACCCAACCCACTAGACGGTAGGAGCGTCAGTTAACATGGCAGCGGCTAGCGTTACTCCAAATATAGTGAAGTTTGGATTCAAGGATTATGTTGTCGATGACGCTAATAAGAAGAGAACAGCGGTATGCAGGGTCTGCAGCATAAAGATCAGTGACACGACCACCAATACATCCAACTTCATTCGTCACTACAAAAAAACCCACAGAGAAAGGTGCGTGGATGTGTTGTGTTAGCTAGAAAGCTAACGTTAAGTTTAAGCTACGTTAGACTTGGTTTCAAATCGATTAAGCATTGCAAAGAGAAGACAAAACGGTAAATGAACACTAGAACCGCCAAGGGATTCATTTGTACTAACCCTGATACTGACGGGCTGTCCGGAGAGGGAGAGAGAGAGGAAAAGAGATGCCTCGTTTATTTCCCCTGTGTTATTATCAGAAGTTACTGTAAACTGTTGAATAATGTAGTTTATCTACTTTTAGTAGTTTGTTTAAATGTTTTAATTATGTTGTTTTTGTTTGTAGAAGTGCATCATTCCTTGATTTATTGTAAAATGAATCTGAACTTTTTGATCTGTTATGATGATAAACTGAAGCAATTTCTAAATTAACCCAATTAACTGAGTTTTAAATCGTCCTACTTAGTTTATAAGGAAATTATGAAGAGAAAGAAATTAAATGATTTGAAAATGATATCTATGTAGGTGCTGACGCTGTTGGCGGTTCTAGTGTTAACAGAAATTTAAATTAAATATGTGTAATGGCAAATGCCATATATGATTTTCTTACCTGGAATTCTGCCTTTTTGAACAGACTTTTTGACTGAGTCCTAGCTATATTGTCTGCAGTTCTAGGGTTAATATTAATCTAATATGATTGTCATCGGTCTAAATTAGATTTCAAATGATTAACTGTGTATGTGATGAAGATCATAGTGTGGGTTAAATCCATTTTCATAACCACTGTCTTTTAACTGATTTAAATGCGGAAACTGGGCTTATTCATCAGAATTTCGTATGACTTGACTTGACTTGCTTGACCTGAGCAATGACTTGACTTGACTTGCTTGACTCTCACCACAGTGACTTGGGACTTGCTTGATACTTGTAGGTCAAGACTTGAGACTTGCTCATGACTTGCACATGTAGGACTTACTCCCACCTCTGTGAAGAACTAAAGTACTGTTAAACTTAGTTTTAAAAGCATTTACAGCTGTTGCTAAGTCACCGGTAGGTGGGGTGGGAGTCAGTCACGTTCCTAATATAAATACTTGTGTATTCATCTATACATTAAAATTAGTAATTGTATATGACACAAGCGCCCACGCCCCACGGAGACCTGAGATAACAGCAATTTCCCTTCCGTGTAACTAATGTTATATTTTGTAGTTGTAATTGCACATACGCACAGACGATAATTTATTTTAGACAATGAGGAAATTGACATACATCCTCTTGACCCAAAACAAGACTAAATAATGAATGCATCAATCCCTGGGGAAGTAGGTTTGGTTAACGGTGTATATTCTGCCTTAAATCTTAGACCTAGATTAACACATGATTTATTTATTTTGTGACTGTTTGTATGATTTATTAACATTTATTTAAGAATAAGTGAAGTCCCTGGGAAATTCAACATTTTTAATAACACTTTGATAGTAAATAAGGAAACATACTGTGCTCCTGAAAAGTACTTATAATTCAAATGGTGTGTAAGATTGTTTTATTGAGGTGAAATTTATAATCTGTCATTCCCTTCCCCCTCCCCCTCCCCCATATTCTCCCTGTCTCTAATTTCAGACTATTACTGTTGGCGACGTTGCAGATCTGAAGTGTAAGTACACAAATAAATAATAAATGCAACATTCTGCAATAAAACGACCATATGTGATTCTAATATCTAAATATAAACCATATTATATTTAAATGCTTTAAGAAATGTATTTGAGGTTGCTGTCACTGAATTTGAAATTAAAGTCATTTTATGTAACAGAATGTATACATACTATAGTTTCTCAGTCAAGTCATATTCCAGAACTAATACATTACACTTTGATACCTTTATATAATTGCAACTGTTTGCACGGATTTAACGGGAAAACATGAGTTGGGCCACAGTTAAGTCCTTTGGAGAATAATTATGAATGAACCATTTTGAAACCCATGAACCTGAACTATATATTTACTATTCTATGTGCTTTTGATAAGCAGCCACGTTTTATCTATCTTCAGATCCTGCTCAATTAACATTAATCTATTATCATTGATATTGTGTTTAATAATAATAATAATACATGGTATTTTTATAGTGCTTCTCCAGGGGCTCAAATACGCTTTACATTAGATTACATGTTATTAGACACTTTTATAATATCTTTGTTATGGACAAGAAAAGTATAACAATATCATTGACAATAGACCACCTAATCTAAGCCTCTTCGTCCCCTTCTCTTTCCCTTTTCTAACTGCAGACCATCACTGTTGGTGACTCCTTGCAGACTGTAGTGTAAGTAAGCAAATGCATTGTATTTTTGCAATCAATCAACTTATATTTGATTGGTTTACAATTAACAATAGATTCCCATCCTAAAAAAAGTTGTGTCAACAGTAATGACATCCATGAATTGCATTCGTATGGAATAATACACTAAAGGGGGTAGTGTTGGTCTAATGGATAGTGAGGTGGGCTGAAGATCGGAAGGTAGTGAGTTCAAATCCCGCCTGGAACACCACCAATAGTGTGCCCTTGAGTAAGGCACTTATGCTGCGTTCACACCGGACACGATGCGAATATTCGCTTCGCTCTAATCGCTCCTATCGCATCGCTCTAAACGCTCGAGTTTCACCACGGCTGCCAGCTGTGTTTACTCGCATCATTCAAACAAGACGCGCTGGCTCGGGAGCTACAACAAAATGAACATATTTTACCGTGATTAAATTGTAATACACGTTTCTAAATGATGCCGAAGTAACAACATACTGATACCGGTTAGTAAAAACCATGAATTAATGCTTGACAAGTCTGCAGACAAGACGGCAGGCGAAACACCTTTTAAAATGCTTGTTTTCTGAATGAAGATCGTGTCGACCAGGCTAAGCTAACGTTGTATATGCTCATTCCACACTCATAACAACGGCCTAATAAACCAGCGACTCGCCATGGCACAGACAGTCTGTGGTTTGTACTTGTTTAACTTTTGTCCAGTTTCTGAACAGATATGAGGAGCTGTGAGCTCTGTGTGCTAACTGCTAACAGCTAACGGCTGATGTTTTCTGGTTGAACGTCAGTGACGGCAGGCTGAGATCCTCACCGCTGATTGGCTTCCGCGAGAACGCGTCACGTGAATTTGACGCTCGAGTGGAAAAAATTGAACTCTCGCGTTTGACGCGGCACCGTTCAATCGCGTGATTCGCGCCACGTCCACCGCTTCATGCTCGCCGTCGGAGCGAATTCGCGTCTGTCCGCCTCTCTGCATTGACTTTACATGTAATCGCGCCGCCCCCAAACATCGCATCGCGTCCGGTGTGAACGCACCATTAGCCCTCAGTTCCAGGGAGAATGTCCCTGTAATTGGTCATTGTAAGTCGCTTTGGATAAAAGCGTCAGCTAAATTAAATGTAATGTACACTGTGAGGTGGTCATTATTCAGGTTGACTATACATTACCCCTATTTTTTTAATTAATAATTAGACTCAAAATATTGATTTAATAAATTATATTGCTTCTGCTAATACAAATAGCCACCTCGCTGTGTTCAGACATCAAACTATTTCCATTGCAGTAATTCACAATCAATGTAATAACCAACAATATATGTCCTACACATTTTTGTATCGAGATTTAATTATCTTGTGATACAAACATGTATTAAACCTTCATTATATTTGTACTTTCTTTATTCAAAAAGATAACCAATAACATATATTTGTATTTGCCTTTAATAACTGTCCTGTGTTTTAACATGCATGTGATTTAGTAATAAACAGTGGAAAGCAACATGAAAGTACATGAGCAGCTTTTAACATTAGATAGGATTGCAATGCGCTGTGAGGTTGTTGTTTTTCTGAACTCCCTCTAAATGTTTCTTTCTCTCTCCCTCAATCTGCTGGCTCCTCCTTCCTGTCTCCAACTGCTGACTGACATAGTTGAGAACGTTGTGGTGACCTTGATAGTAAGTTGAGATTTATGAATGGAAATGTATTAAATGCAGCCGTTTCTAAAACACAGTAAAGTGTCATTGTAGTTAAATAGAGCCTTCTAAACCAGCCCTGCCTAACTGTTACATTTCCTGGCATTTCTTTTTCCACATATAAATGTGGTCAGTGCATAATGTCATAATGTTTTTAGATTAGGTTAATGTGATCAGATGCCTTCAATGACCTTTGAGCTTGGGGTTGAATCTGTTTTCTTAAATCAAAACTTTCTGTGTGTTACAGGTGCCCTGCTGTTGAGGAACTCTCTGGATTCTTTCTCTCTATCAAAACCGCATTCTCTCTTTCCTATCACTTGTTTCCACTCAATCTGATTATATGGCCACTCTGTCTATCCTATCCAATCTACCTTGCTCTGTCTAATTTTTGGCATATTCTATCTTTTGTGTCCCTCAAGTTACCAGTACTTGATCTCTGCCACCAGGTTACAAGTACTTGGTGGTACGCTCTATCTATTTTTGGTATTTCTGTCTTGCTATCCCACTCTACAAGTGAAAAGTGCTTGATCTATCCCACTCTATCTATAAGAACCGCAAACCGATTTGACGTTTGAAAAAACGCAAAAAAACGCTTGGCACTGATTTTTGAAACAACTCTTGACATTTTGGCTTTCAAGTTACCAGTACTTGATCTATCTGTTGAAAAAGCAAATCTAAGAGTCTCTCTGCTCTTACGCTCTCTCTCTCTGTCTCTGTCAAGTGAAAAGTGCTTGAACTCAACATTTAATTGTATCATTGTCACAACACATAAATTGTTGTACTAAGTGGATAGTTACAAATATATATATACAAAGGTTATACGTTTATAATTTCAATCCATATTTATTTTATAAGAACTGTTGTTACTGAATTTTGTTACCGTAAACGTATCTAATTCCTAAAGGCTGTTTTAAGTCATATTTGATTTTTGCTGTATTTATTTACTTAACTAGTTAACATAATACGATATTGTATTCATTTTCTCTGATAAACGTAAACACACCCCAGGTATACAGTTCACACACTGTTTTGATCAGAAAATAAAGAGCTTTGTTATTGTCTAACTTGTCATATACTGCAATAAAACAACCAACTGAATTGTTTGATTCTTATATTTAAATATATTTTTAAACCTGCAAATATTAAGGTGCTTTAAGGAATTAAACAATAACATTTGTGGTATTGGAGAACAACAACAATGCAGAGGAAGAACAAAACGTCCCAAGGCCAAAGCCTGCGCTGGAAAAGATCTACAGATGTTCCCTGTGCAACAAGTGAAGCAGCAGAACGTTCTGGTCCTCTGAGCAGTGGAGAAGTGAAGGTGTGTCCAGTGTCTCATGCTATAAGTGTACAACAGGGAGGTCAACACCATGCATCCTGTGAACCACAGACTTCTTATGCTGACATGGTAAAGAGGAGACGTGACAGTGACGATCTTTGTGAGGCAGGCCCTTCTCATGCTAAACCGGTAAACCAGAGAGGTCAAGGTGATAAGCCATGTGTACCACAGCCATCTTATGCTGACATGCTAAAGAAGAGACGTCGAAGTGATGATCTTTGTGAGGCAGGCCCTTCTCATGCTAAACCGGTAAACCAGAGAGGTCAAGGTGATAAGCCATGTGTACCACAGCCATCTTATGCTGACATGCTAAAGAAGAGACGTCGAAGTGATGATCTTTGTGAGGCAGGCCCTTCTCATGCTAAACCGGTAAACCAGAGAGGTCAAGGTGATCAGCCATGTGTACCAAAGCCAACCTATGCAGATATTTTGAAGAGTGGACGTGTCAGTAAAGTTGCTTGTGAGGCATGGCCTTCTCATGGAGACAGTGTAAACCTGGGAGATCAACTTTCTGAGCAACATGTCCCTGCATCGTGGAGCCAGGCTTCCCCTAAATATGGAAAATCCAGAAATAAGCAGTGCTCCTGTAACTCACTAACATTTCTTGCATTCTTCCATGAGAATGAAAACATCACCAGAGCTGACATTGAACTTGTTTTGGATAAAGGTAACATGATGTATAATGAGGTGAGAAAAACTGTTAATCACATCCATTTGACCACTGATGAGCTCCCACATGAAGTTACTGCACGCAGGTTTACCCATTATGTGGACATGACACAACTTTCCAGGTATGGCACGTTAGGAGAACCTTTACATCCAACTGTAGATAGCTTTCTGGACCTTGAGTCAGGACTGAGCTGCTTGTTAACTGAGGTGCAGTTTGCTTTGTTGCTGATGACACTGTTGTGTATTGCAGTATTTAGAACCAGAACAGGCCGGTATGGTTTCTTTGACCCACACTCCAGGACTAGTAAAGGTTTGCCTCTTTCCCCAGATTCACTCACTCCTGGTACTGCTGTCGTGCTGACATTTACACGTCTCAGTGACATGATTGACAGGCTCATGAAGTTTCACAGAATGGTGGGCACACAGTTAAACTGTACCTATGAGTTAAAGCCTGTAGAGTTTTACGACAGAAACCCAGTCTCCCTGAATGATGCTGTCCTGAACACAGACTGCAGACCTACAGCTGTCACTGTTGATGCACCTGCTCTGCTGGATGAAGCTGCTGATGAGTCAAGCTCACCTACTCTAAGGAGAAACACACCCACTGATAGTTCTGAGCACATTCTACCAGACAAGTCAACTCAAACCCCTGCTGTGAAACAACAAGAGGTCCATATCACATCTCCATCACATGATGCTCCACAGGTTGAATCAAAGTTGACTGATCAAGTGAAAAACCATGGTCTCAGTGATCCTTCTGACAACATATTTAAAGGAGTGTCTACCGAAATCACTTTCATATCATCTGTGAGACAACAGGAGGTATTACCTAACCTAATCCCTAATGCTCAAACTGAACCAGAACCTTTAAGTGAATTCAGTTTCCTTCCATCTCATGATGCATCTCACAGTGTATCATACATCTCTTCTCCATTAAATTATGTTGCCAGTAATCTGTCTGATACTGTATTGCAGGACATCTCTTGTACATTTTCAAAGCTTAGTAAACAGCAAAGGAAAAAAATCAAGAGAAGACTCATGGTCCCTAACAATAATAATCCTGAAAGCAATGCTACAAAAAAACAGAAGAAATGCCATTACTTTGCCAAGCGGTACAAAGATAATTTTGACTTTCAGCGGAAAAGAAAACAATACATTATCACCAGTTATAGAGACAATCCTGATTTTAAAAAGAAACAAAAGCAGTATTTAACCTCCCGTTACAAAAACAATCCTGATTTTAAAAAGAAACAAAAGCAGTATTTAACCTCCCGTTACAAAAACAATCCTGATTTTAGAGAGAAACAAAAGCAGTATTTCACCTCCCATTACAAAAACAATCCTGATTTTAGAGAGAAACAAAAGCAGTATTTAACCTGCTGTTACAAAGACAATGATTTGAGACAGAAAAAAAACCAGCGCTCTACCGACTGCTACAGAGACAATGATGATTTAAGGCAGAAAAAGAAAGATAACTCTACTAATTTCTACAGAGACAATGATGATTATAGGCAGAGGAAGATATCTCATATGAGTCAGTGTTATGAACATGACGAACCATTCAGGGTAAGACACAGACAACTAATGAAAAAACTAATGAAAGACCGATATAAAAACAATCTTGCATATAAGATTATGCATAAGATGCGATGTGCCATGAAAATAACAAAGAAATACAGAATGATAAATAAACAAACTCAAGAAAGTGAGAACAGTTTGATTGAGGAGGCCATATCTGTTTTCAGATTACATAAAAAGGCTGGTCCCACTTATGTGTGCACTGTCTGTCATAAAGCATCTTTTCCAAACCAAGTGAAACCCTGTAATAGGTCAAATTACCTCACAAATCCAGTTGTGGTTGCAGCATGCCTGACAGGAAAGTATGTTCATGTTTGTAATGATGTCTGCAGAAATGAACAACAATGCAAGGTGCCTGATGAGAGAAGGAGAGAGTGGATTTGTTCCACCTGCCATGATCATCTTAAAAAAGGAGTAATGCCATCCCTCGCTGAAGCCAATCATTTGGAGCTTGCTGATATTCCACCTGAACTGTGTGATCTCAACATATTAGAGAGGCATCTTATAGCCAAGTGCATAACGTTTGCCAAAATCATTCCTCTTCCCAAAGGACGACAGAGACTAATACGTGGTAATGTGGTGTGTGTCCCATCTGAGGTACAGGAAACAGTTGAAGTGTTACCAAGACTGAGAAGCCAGTCTCAAGTCATGAGAGTAAAGCTTAAGAGAAGGTTATGTTACAAAGGCCATCAACTGTTCCAGACTGTGACCTGGTCTAAACTAGTGCAGGCACTGCATGAACTCAAACACATTCACCCACAGTACAAGGACATAACCATCAGAGATGACGCTGCATTATGTGACCCAACACTTCCTGATGAGGATGAGGATGAGGATGATGATGATGATGATGATGATGATGATGATGAGCATGCATCAATGGATGAGGTTGATTATGATGAAGTTGATTTGATGGAAATTGACATGTGTGAGAAAGGTGCACTTTGTGAGGCAGAAAATGAGCAGGATATTGACATGTTGCCCTGTGATGGTGAGAAAGCAGACGAGCAGAGAGATGATGAAGAACAGGAAGGTGACATGCCTAATGGTGGATTTGCTTTGGAGTCATGCCTTCAACCATGTGATGTTTCAGAGGAGATATTGTGTTTTAATGAAGGAATCTATTCTGTTGCCCCAGCAGAAAGAAACAGTCCAGTTAGTTTTTTCAAAACACCTAAACTAGAGGCCATGGCTTTCCCTGTACAGTTTCCTACAGGTCAGAACACACTGGATGAAATGAGATGTATTAAACTATCACCCAGCAGTTATTTCAAAGCACGCCTGTTCTGTGTTGATGATCGTTTTGCAAGAGACACAAATTACTTATTCTTTGCACAGTTTGTCACAGAAATACACCTGGCTACTTCCAGCATGACAGTACAGTTAAGGAAAGGCAAGCCTTTTTTACGAGAGATGGACGACCAATCACTTCTGGTATGTTGCAAGATAAACGAGAGGTTGAGAAACTGATACGAAATAGAGATGCAGTGAGATTCATGCAGCCACTGAGAGGAACACCAGCCTATTGGGAGAAAACCACAAAAGATCTTTTTGCCATGATCAGACAGTTGGGAACTCCTACATTCTTCTGCACATTTTCTGCAGCTGAAATGCGTTGGCCTGAAGTGATTGAAGCAATAAAAAGGCAGCAAGGTGAAGATGTCGATTTTGAAGGACTTGACTGGTCAGCAAAGTGTGACATACTGCGAAGCAATCCTGTGACAACAATGCGCATGTTTGATAAGCGTGTTGAGGCGTTATTCAGAGATTTGATCTTATCTCCTGCACAACCCCTTGGAAAAGTTGTTGACTACTTTTCCAGAGTTGAGTTTCAGCACAGAGGAAGCCCACACATACACTGTCTCCTATGGGTAGAAGGTGCACCTGTGTTTGATGACGATGATGATGAAACTGTTGTGAATTTGTGTCCAAGTACATCTCAGCTAAGCGGCCTGATCCACATACACAACCTGAACTGTACAAGAAAGTTACAGAAGTGCAAATGCATAGCAAAAACCACTCAAAGACATGTTTCAAAAGCCTCAGCTCTGGATGCAGATTTGGATTCCCTAAACCACCTGTCCCAACCACAATGATAACGAGACCTGGAGAGAATGTTGATCCACAGCAAGTGGCTCTAGCAAAGGAAAAGCTCAAACCACTGAACTTGTTGTTGAAGGAACTTGAAACTGCTTCTCTCAGTTTGCTGCAGCTCTTGGCTAAATGCAATTTAACCCTCAGTGAGTACCAGCAATGCCTCAACACAATAAACAAATCCAGTGCCATAATACTGAAACGTGACCCAAAAGACTGCTGGGTAAATGGATATAATCCACATCTCCTTGAAGCCTGGGATGCAAATATTGATGTCAGTTATATTCTCAATGCATATTCATGCATCATTTATATCACTAGCTACATCACCAAAAAGGAATCAGGACTTTCTGAGTACCTCAAAACAGTCATTGAGAACTCCAGCAGAGACAATGTCAACGAATGTGATGAGATGAGG